GTGGAGAGCAAATGTTTTAAGAATGATGAGGGCAATGAATGTACAAATGTGCTTTACACAATTGATGTATGTATGGATTGTGGTAAGAGTTGTATGAGCCCCTAATAAAACGATTAAAAAATAGTAGAAAAAATTTAAAATAAGTCAAAAAGGAAAAAAATAAAATAGATCACTTTACTGGGGGCTCTTACATCTCATAACAATCTATACATCCATTGTAGCAAGCATATTTGTACATATGTTGCCATCATTATTTTCTAAACATTTACTGTCTATTTGAGCCCTCAGTGTCAGCTCTTCACCCAGCCCATCCTTGTTACCCCTTAATAAATTATATTTTCTTATCTTACAGCCACCGCTGTCTCCCTTCCCTCACACTGTTATTTGCCCCCTCGGGGAAGGGGGTGTGTGGTTATGTGTTCATCATTGAGATGGTTCCCCCTTCCTCTCCTCATATCTTCACCTTCCCCCTACCCTCCTGGTATCACTCATCCCATTTCTGTTCCTGAGGGGTTTATCTGACCTGGATTCTATGTGTCATGAACGCTTATCTGAACCGGTGTACATTCTCCGGTCTAGCCCGGAGTGAAAGGCAGGACTGGGGTCATGATAGTGAGGGGTAAGGAAGTCTCAAAGAACCAGAGGAATATTGTGTTTCATTGGTGCTATACTGAACCTTGGTTGAATCATGCCTTCCTTGTGACCCTTCTGTGACGGGATGTCCAATTGTCTATAGATGGGCTTTGGGTCTCTCCTCTGACCCCCTTAGTTCTCAACAATGTGTTTGTTTGCTTGTTTGTTCTGGGTTTAAGGAAATATTCTCTATGACTGTATTTATAGATGGGGAACTTCTACATCTTCAAAACTCATTGAACTCCACATTGAAAATGGGAGAATATTACTAGGTGAAAATTATGCCTCAGTGTTTTCAAAGGTAATGTATAATAAGTCAGTTTTTTAAAAATCATGAGTCTAAACATTTTATTCAGTAAATATTTATTTGCAAAAAATCTATAAATAATACAATCTTTTTTCACAATTATAACAAGGTTTACTTTCTGGTACTTTTATAATAACTATCTTTACAGTTTTTTCAAGAAAAACCACCAAATCTAAAAAGTGTTTGAAAGGAAAAATTCCAAAAATGTTGTATAAAGTCAATATACGGATGCTGCACTCAGCAGCTTTTAGGGTATTTTTTTCCAGAAGGTAAAAGTATATTGCTGTTTAGTCAACTCGGACCCATTAACTCCCGCAGTACACCACACCCGAGAGGAAAACTGGAAGCTGGACATAGGCCACACAGGTAATAGGCCTGGGGCAGTGCCGGCAGCACTGTGGTGGAGCAGACAGTGGAGACTTCTGCAATGAGCTACCACCACTAGGCCCAGCAGATCTATGCCCTGACAGAGCAGATGCCTTAGCAGCCAGTGCTTCTGATGTTTAAAAAAACACTGCCATCAAAGTCAGAGCTGATGGGTTAGCAGTCCAATACTTAACCAAATCTCTGTTTTTATGTGAAATGTCCTGATTTTTTATAACAACAGCTCTTTTAAAAAGACTACTATATGGACCAATAGAGTCGTGGAGGCAGAGTAGGTTACATGTTGGTCACAAGGTCAGCAGTTCCAAACCAGGAGAAAATGTGGCTTTCTAGTCCCATAAATATTTACCGTCTCAGAAACCCACAGGGGCAGTAGTTCTACTCTGTCCCATAGGGTCACGATGAGTCAGAATGAACTCATGTAAAAAATAATAATAATAATCTTGCTACCTTTCTATTTACCATTTTATTAATAGATCTGAATAAAGTAGAATACCTGGGCTATTGAAATAAAATTCATCTCTAAAGTACATGAGCACGAGGCAATTCTGGCCATTTTGTTGAAATGTCTATTTACATTTCTAAGTATAATGGTTAGGGGGAAAAGGTAATGAGTGACAACATGGCAAGAGAAGGAAGGGAAAACTGAAGGAAATGCTTTTAAACTAAGATCATAGTCAACTTCCAGACTCCAGAGCAATGAAATAATTCAAGTGCTGAAATTTGAGAACTTCATTGCCCCAACTAGTCCAACCTGGCTGTAAATTCCGAGCAAACAACTCCAAATATTCTCCACCAGGCTTAATGTAGTCTTTTAGAACCTCTGCCAAAAAAAAAAAGACAAAGACACAAAGATTATTAAGAACAAATGAGTCCATTTCCTGTTAGTGATTACAAACAGAAAACAGAGGGGTGAGGGAACTGTTTCCTTAAAAACAGAAAAAGTAGCAAATTAATTTCAAAGATTTCATCAAGCTTTACTATTTATAGTTAGAAAGTATTTGGAATAGTGTCCTTGAGATTGGCAACACCATCGTCAGAACTTTTAATAATCTTGATTTATTGGTTTTCATTTGTACGAGATATGAGGATTTTAACACCCACACAAGTAACTTTTCAATTTTTCATTACTCTGACATGTTATCTTCTAAGTACTAACTGTATTTATTTTTTAACAAATGCAATGTATGCATGAAAAATTTATAAAGACAATATAGAGACACTTTTAAAAACTAAGACAAAATACATCTATTGTAACACTTTCTTCAGCAATAGGGAAGTAAATTCAGAGCTGGAGTCAGAGGAAATACATGTATACTTGAGTATAAGCCGACCCGAATGTCCGCCGAGGCACCTAATTTCAACACAAAAACTGCATTAAAAATGTGCTGGAAAACTCGGCTTATCCTCGAGTACATGTGGTAATCAGAACAAATAACTAATAGACATGTCCCCCTCAGCAATCATTTGGCAGTACCCAGACATCCCTTCATATTAAAATTATAGTTACTTCTTTATCTAAAATTTCACCAAATTATTTCCATACTTGATTGTTTATTCAAAAGAACGTATGACACACTAAAGATTATATTTTCTTCGGGAGAAAATGTTACCATATACAAAATAAAACTACTATCAAGTCAATTCTAACTCACAGCAACCCAATAGGACAGGACAGAACCGCCCTTGTGGGTTTCCAAGATTGTAACTCTACACGAGCAGGCAGCCTCAACCTTCTCCTGAGGAGCATTTGGTGGTTTCTACCTGCTGACCTCCCGGTTAGTAGCCCAATGTGCAACCCACTATGCCAGCAGATTCCTCTACCAAATACAAAGGATGCTGAAAAAGTTCATGAAAAAAGTAGAAAAAATAATGGAATTTTTCCATGAATAGTTTGAAACCCTTTTGTACACAATGGCTAAGTAGTTGTGATCTATAATTAAAGAAGAAATGAATGTGGTTAGGGAGGATTAAGGACCTGCTCATTTGTATGATAAATATTTAAACTGATTTAAGCTTGCTTGTGTTGGTGGTTAAATATAAAAATTGGATATAAAAATACTATTAGGGGAAGAAAAGTCACACAGTAAAATAAAATATAATTTTGAATTGTTTATATGGTTGAGTTTGAAAGATAACTACCAAATTTTCTTTAAGAATGAAACGTGCTCTTTAAGTTCTTTAAGTAGATGAGGCTTAAAAGACAACATATGAAATGTTTTAGGTTTTATGTTTTTCAGTTGCTCTCAAAACAATTATTTATTTAAAAATACAGATCTTGTTTAGCAAATTTTTTTAATTTAAATCTACTTGTTGTCTATAATTCAACTGAACTCAAATTTGGGGGTTTTGTTTGCTTATTTTTTGTTTTTGTTTTTAAGAATATACACAGCAAATTTAAACCAATCCAAATATTTCTGCATGTACAGTTTGGTGACCCCGACTATAGTCTTCAAGTTGTACAACCACTCTTACCCTCCTTTTCTGAGTTGTCTTTCCTCATTAGCAGTAACTCACGGCCCCATAAGGTTCCTATATAATTTTTCAAGTTGTTGTTGTCAATTTGATCCCATATAGTTCTTCCCATTAAGATTGTCTTAAACATTTAAGCTTAATGCTCAAAGGACACAATTTTTTTTATTCATCATTTTACTGTAATCAGTGTTATAGAAGACTTAACAAATGAAGCAGAATAGTCATGTTTTATGAGCGTTCAAAATCTAGTAGAAAGGGATAACCAGGCTCTTGGGAGTGAAAAAAGTAACGTACCCATTCTCTCAAAACAGCTCTAATACATCTTTACATGTTTGGGGGTAATTTGATTTTTTTTTTTCTCCCCATTCTTTCTAGTTGAGAAAATCAGGAAATCAAGGTGAGTTAGCAATTTTATAATGCTAGCCACCTATGTTTTGTTATTGTTTTTTTGTTATTTGTTTTACCACTTATGTTTTATTTCAAATCAGAGCAAAATATATAAAAATTACCAGAAATATAGTTTTACTAAAGTTCAATATAGCTTTTAGGCAAAGCAATAAATTTAAATGAGTGTGATGAATATATAGATAACTACATAACACTTGGTGTTACTTTTTTGAACCAACAACGAAGAGGCAATCTAAGTTGAACAAGTCATTCCCCTTTAGCTCAAAGGCAGGGCCGGTAAGCAATGACTCAAACATCAGAGTATTAACCTCATCAAATCATGTTTTATTCTTCACACAGACTTAGTCAATAACAATGACTAATAGGGAGTGGAAATTCTTCTAGGGTAAAATATGAAATGTGAATTTGATTGAAATACTTTTATTTCCATTTTCCGACCATCAAAGTTTAGAAAATTCACCTACAATGCTATGTTGTAAAATTTACAAGGTAAGCCGTAGCGACTGATGGCTTACCTTTCAATCTACAGGAGAAAACTTCTAAACTTAAAAATGGACCAAATATATCATTTTGGGATAGAATACTCTGCCAAGGTACTTTTTTGTTTGTTTGTAACATATTGCATCAAAAGAATGACAAATTAAGCCTTAAAAAATGTTGGTGCTTCTAGGAGCAAAAAACTGAAGGGAGAACATTTCATTTTAAGAATCTGCATAAAGCTGATTAAGAATATTTACATATAAAAGCTATAAACATTACATAGAGAACATGTATTTCCCAAGACCCAAGAGTTATTATTTCAGAGTTAAATATACTGCAGAAATCTAAAAGTTGCTTTCTGATGGTTTTAATTTGCACCTGGGTTAGCCTTTGGACTGCTAAACTCGAGGTCAGTGGTTCAACCCCATCAGATGCTTAACAGGAGAAAGATACGGCTGTTCAAGTCTGTAAAAATGTACAGTCTCAAAAACCCAAAAGAGCAGTTCGAGTCTGTCCTACAGGCTTGCTCTGAGTCAGATTCAACTCTATGGGTTTTGGTTTATACTTAATTTGTATTGTAACCACCTCAACAATTACAAGTTTGCATTTGAGGTTTTAATAAATAATCTAAAGAGCTTTGGTGGTGCAGTGGTTAAAAGCTTTTGGCTGCAAACCCAAAAGTTGGCAATTCAAAAATACAACTAACTGTTGCACATGAGAAAGATGTGGCAACCTGCTTCCATGAAGATTACCCTATGGGGCAATTCTACTCTGTCCTGTAGGATCACTATGAGTTGGAATCAACTCAACTTCAATGAACTTTTTCTTTTGCTATAACTAATCTAGATAATTATTCATTATAATCAGAACATATGCAATACTATGTAGTAGTATTGTAATAACTAGGTAGTAACATGGAACTGAAAGATGAAATACTACAAATATTTTTCATCTATCACTACTTAACCCAATTCTAGGGTTACATACAATGAGTCATCCAGGTTTCCTCTTCAAATCTAGTTTTTGTTTTTAAAATGTTCTCAATTTCTAAAATGTGCTTATGTTGCTCTCTACTGGAAGTATGGCATTACTGCATTTCACTGATAAACTAGGTAAAACTAATTTCATAGAGTAAAACTAATTTTTACTCATTATTTTAAAGTCTTGTCTCTAACAAGTGATCTTTAAATATAATTTTATTCTATTTGAGAAGAATAAATAGCTTAACTATTATTTGAAAATGAACATTTGAGAATTAGCATTTATATTTTCAAAATCAAAACAGACTTAAGTTCTGCTGTCTGTCAAATAAATGATTAGAAAATTCAAGCAACGGGAATAAAAACTAGGCTTCATTCATGGAATATAATACATTTCCTCCCTCAAAGATCAGTACAATTTTACTTTTCATTTAAGTCATGTGTTTAATCATTAAAGAGTCTGTAAAAGTGCAAGATTTGTAATAACTGAAAATCTCTGTCAAAGAATAAATCATTAAGTAGACATGTGAATATTTCTCAAATGAGGTAGTAGTAGAAATTATCTTCTGCCTATGTAATTTAAGATAACAAATCCTGAGTGCTACTAATAAAATTACTTATAACCCCCACCCAGGAGTATGGACAACAGAAAAGTGGGTTGGAGGGAGACAGCTGTCAGTGTAAGACATGAAAAATAATAACAATATATAAATTATCAAGGGTTCATGAAGGAGGGAGGGTGGGGGAGGGA